CTTTGACAATCAATTTCAAGCAAATTGGCAAAAAAATTCACCAGTTCCGGCTCCTCAAGTTAGATTATTTTCTTGTTTTCCTGGTCTTTTATAAATTAAATCTATTTGGCTTTTGGACTTGTGAGTAGACATTTAAAGATGTCGCCTTGGATTCTAGGAAACTATAATGGACATTTTTGTTACTTGCTGACATTTTATAGGCCAAAAAATTAATTGACAAATTAAGAAAATGATTGATAATGAAAATAACCATTAGATGTGGCAAAAAAATGCACAAAAAAGGAATGAAAATGAATATGACTGAAATGTATAAAGTGTTTTTGAAGCATTTCACCCTGTTGTTAGCCTGTTCAAAAAGGTAAAGAGGTTTTTGCACTTAAGAAGAGCATATTTTGTGTTGTTAAGTACATGTGCCTTGACCATATGAATAACCTCAGCACAAGGCCCTGTAATTTGCCTGCCACACTGCACATTAACGCCTCTGAATGCCTTCACCCAGCATGGCAGCAGTGCTGCCACCGTGTGTTCACCTGCCAGACCCTAATGAATATGCACTGTGTTCTCTGTTTTCTACCTCTCGTGCATGGCCCTCTCCCTTCACCCCCCTCACCTCCTTTTCCTCCCATGCATGGTGCACTCCCTCCTCCCTCCACCAACACCACCTCACCTACCTCCTCATCCTCATCCTCATCCTACCCCATCCACTCACCGTCACTGACACCGCTGTATGTGTTGCTGCATGGCCTGTGGCCCCGACGCCTCACCTGGCACTGGCCTCCCACACCCCAGGACCACTCCGGCACTCTGGGCGCGGAGGAGTTCAAGGCCTGCCTGATCAGCCTGGGCTTCGATATCGCCAACAATGCACAGGTACTTAAACGTAGCCACAACCCCACAGTGAGAGGTTTAACTGTTTTGTTTTTTTTTTCCTTTTGCACCTTTTCCCCTTGTATTTCTGTCCTTCCCCCTGTTCTCCCTCTGTTCCCACCTTTACTGCATATCCCTCCTCTCTAAATTTCCACTGTGATTTCCTGCATCTTGCAACATCCACTTTGTGGATTGTTGCTGCTTTCCTTCTAAAAATCTACTCTTTGTTCATCTCTTGCTCCTCCTCCTCTGTCCTTCTCTCCTCCTGGTTTTGTTTGTCCATCGCTGACCTTGTAGAAGAGAACAGGAATCATGGATGCTGAAGACTTCAAAACCTGCCTTATCTCCATGGGTTACAACCTGGTAAAGCAATGTGCATGAAAATATGATCCTGTGTGATTCTTGAGAGCAGCCAGAAATGGAAATAAATATATGTGACAAAAATGTTTTATCATTTTGAAATTTGTGTATTCTATGTCTTATTATGACAAATTTTACAAAGAGTTCTTTTTAAAAATGTATAAGAATTTCTGATGGAAATTGAAGATTTCCACTAAACAGTACCTCAAAATAATCGGAATCTTGTATTATGTTGTCATACTATGCAAAGAACAAAAGAATTTCAGCCAAATTATATCTTCATATGCAGAATGTCAGTCATTGGCTGTGTTGCTTTAGTGCGTTGTTGGGAACTGTCACCACAGTGGCTGAGCCTCACAGTCCCTCTCTGTTGCCTCTAGGGTGAAAGTGAGTTCTCCCGCATCATGAGCGTAGTGGATCCCAACAGGATGGGCATCGTCACCTTCCAGGCCTTTATCGACTTCATGTCCCGCGAGACAGCCGACACAGACACTGCTGACCAAGTCATGGCCTCCTTCAAAGTTCTAGCAGGCGATAAGGTACAGTGTTGTGTTGTATCATCATCAAAGAGGAGTAACAGCGATGGAAAGTAGGCATTCCCATTCTAGATAAAGATGCATTTGACAGAAAGATAGACTTTCATGGTAGCAGAGCAGAGGCAAAGACATGAAGTAAAAAGAAAAGTACAAGAACCAAAGAGCTATACATTTTTTAATTGATATTTTTCAGAATATTCATCACATGAATTGTATGTGAAAGGGTCATAGTGACAAACCAACAGAAAATTGTCAACCAACTCTGCAGTTCCCCTCAAATCTGTGGCACTTTATATCATCATTCTCTGTTCACTCTTAGCCTCATTTTCAGTGAAATAAACGGTTCCATACGTGATGTACACTGCCTGCTCAGCACCAAACAGCAAAGTTAGCTACTAGATGGTGACCCATAGCAGTGCACAAATGCAGCTCAAAGTAAAAGAATAAATCATAATATAGAAAGAATCTATAGCCTATTTGCAACAACTGTGCTAACATTTAAAAATCACATCACAAAATGTAAGTTTGTTTTTCTTATTTTTCATAGAACTACATTTTAGCTGATGAGCTGCATCGGGAGCTGCCTCCAGACCAGGCTGAGTACTGCATCGCCCGCATGGCCCCCTACACCGGCCCTGATGCCGTGCCCGGAGCCCTCGACTACATGTCATTCTCTACTGCCCTGTACGGAGAGAGCGACCTCTGAACAATCTGTCAGTTGTCCTGACTCGGGACCACCAGCACCTGTTCCAGTCACCACAACAAATCCTCTGGCTGCCCTGTCACCACACTCCTGTCCTACTACGCTCATTTTTTGTACATCTCTGGCCTTATCTTTTTTGTCAGTGTCCTCTGTCTCCTCCTTCTCCCACCTGTCCAGCCTCTTTACCACTCCCTCACATTATTTTCGTTGTATTTGCTTCCCACGCAGTGCAGCAGCTCTCCAGGTTTACAAAGAGGGAGAGAGAAACTTTTTTTAAATTTTCTTGTCATTGTTTTTCTTCATAAAAAGAATAAAGTTAACATATTTTATTATACTGAACAAAAAGGGTATTTTTCTTCACCTGATTGAAAATAACAGGCAAAAATTGTAATAAAGAAAAATTGCTATACTTTCTCTTCTTATTCTCTGTTTGCTGCAGGGATCACCTGTGGTTTTTAATGGATTTACACTAACAGTGTGTGGATTTTGCTGTATTTTGTATCAGCTCAGGTTTTGCTTCTGTACTGTAAGCTACGTGTGTGTAATGGAGTCCAGACATTTATAAACCTTTTTCACAGCAAACCTTTTAATATACCATAGCAGTCGAGTGGATGTAATCAACAGCATTAATAATAACCTGTGGAAAAACAACATTCAGATCTTTTACTTGTGTAAAAGTACCAATTCCACAGTGGTGAAACACTCTTACAAGCAGAAGTCCTACATCTGAAATGTTACTCAAGCAAAACTACAAAAGTGGTGGCATCAAATATTCTTCAAAGAACCTATATTTAAAATAGTTGTTATACAGCATTGCCTATTTCAGAATATTTTCTTGCTGTAATATTAGTATAATTACAGGTGCTGGTCATATAATTAGAATATCATCAAAACGTTGATTTATTTCACTAATTCCATTCACAAAGTGAAACTTGTATATTATATTCATTCATTACACACAGACTGATATATTTCAAATGTTTCTTTTAATTGTGATGATTATAACTGACAACCAATAAAAAAAACCCAAATTCACTATCTCAGAAAATTAGAATATTGCTGAATACCAATACAAAGGAAGGATTTTTAGAAATCTTGGCCAGCTGAAAAGTATGAGCATGTACAGCACTCAATACTTAGTTGGGGCTCCTTTTGCCTGAATTACTGCAGCAATGCGGCGTGGCATGGAGTCGATCAGTCTGTGGCACTGCTCAGGTGTTACGAGAGCCCAGGTTGCTCTGATAGTGGCCTTCAGCTCTTCTGCATTGTTGGGTCTAGCATATCACATCTTCCTCTTCACAATACCACATAGAAAATCTATGGGGTTAAGGTCAGGCGAGTTTGCTGGCCAATTAAGAACAGGGATACCATGGTCCTTAA